TCCTGTGCCTTTAAGACTTCTTCCTTGAAAAATACCCAGCCTTCTTGGACCGCTTTGCCCTTCAGGACTGTCTCCTAAGGGACTCTCCCAACCAGCGTTCTGAAGAGGCCAAAGTCTGCCCTCCAGAAGTCCACAGTGGCGGTGTTGCTGACTCCCTTCCTTACCTCACCAAAAATCGAAAACTCTACCATTTCATGATCACTAAGGCCAAGACAACCTCTGACCACCACCTCTCCCACCAGTCCTTCTCTGTTAGTGAACAGGAGGTCTCTTCCACGCACTGCAGGAACCTTCTGGACTGTTTCCTTTCTGCGGTGTTGTATTTCCAGCAGATGTCTGGGAAGTTGAAGTCCCCCACGAGAACAAGAGCTCATGACTGAGAGACTTCTGCCAGCCGCTTGTAGAATACTTTGTCAACATCCTCATCCTGGTCAGGTGGTCTGTAACAGACTCCCAACAGGATATCTTTTCTGTTGGCCTCCCCCCTCATCCTCACCCATAAGCATTCTGCCTCACCACAAGCGTCAAGCTCTGTGCAATCAAAACACTCCCTAACATACAGAGCCACCCCGCCGCCTCTCCTTCCTTGCCTGTCCCCTCTGAAGAGTTTGTAGCCATCCATCACATCCAGTCATGGGAGGCCTCCCACCTCATTCCTGTGAACCATCCTGCTGCACAATGGCTTCCAGCTCCTCCTGTTTGTTGCCCATGCTGCGTGCATTGGTCTAGATGCACTTGAGCTGGGCTATCGGTTTCACCCCCAGCATTGGGGTGATGCCCCCAGGCTCCTCTCTAGTGAGCCTGGTTATATCCCCTCCCCCCTTCAACAACCTGGCCTTTTTAGACGTCACTTACTCAGCCATCATCACATCAGCAGCACCAACGACTTCAACAGCAGAGACCAAAGCAGTCACATTCACTGGCTGTGCTGGGCAGTTTTTCTCGCTCTGCATGGCTGTACCCTGTTGTGGTTTCACCCAGCAGGCAGCCGAACACCCCCCAGTTGCTCGCTTACTCCCCCCTTCCCTCAGTGCGATGGGGGAGAGAATCAGGGGGGAAAAAAAAGGTAAAACTCATGGGTTGAGATAAAGCCAGTTTCATAAAAAAAAAAAAGTAGAGGGAAAGAAAAAAAAAGTAGTAATAATAATAAAGTAATGATAATAATAGAGTATACAGAATAAACAAACCAAGTGATGCTCATGCAATTGCTCACCACCCGCTGACGGATGCCCAGCAGCGATCCGTCTCCCCCAGGCTAACTCCCCGCCCCGAGCATGATGCCCCATGGGCGGGAGCAGCCCTGGGGCCAGTCGGGGTGGGCTGTCCCGGCTGTGCCCCCTCCCAGCTCCCCGTGCCCCCGGCAGAGCAGGGGGAGCTGAAAAGCCCTTGCCTGGTGTGAGCCCGGCTCAGCACCAACTGAGCCATCAGGGTGTTACCAACATTCTGCTCATCTGAAACCCAAACCAGAGCACTGTGCCAGCTGCTGGGAGGAAAATTAACTCTGCCCCAGCTGAAACCAGGACAAGAGGCAACTCCAATGTTACATTAGGTTGCTCAGGGCCTTGTCCAGGTACACCAAGGGTATCTTGGAAAGCACGGTGCATTTTTCCAGCGTGTTTGAGACAGCATCACCATTGTGTGATGGAACCACAGCCTCACACGCAGGGATGACGTGTGTTCATTTTCTGAGCCTCCGCTCTACGAATACCAGCTTATGCTGGAAGAGTGTTACTGTGGTAAGTTTATTTGTCCATTATTTCTGAGCCCTATGATGTACCTTGTTCTTGTTTACACAGAGTTGACGGGTTTTATTTTCCCTGTTTTAATTCCTTTTTCCTATTTTAAAATACTTAAAGGAAAAAATATATGAAGAACATGAACGTGGAGAGCAACTCAATACATATGCCAACATTCAAAACCTCAGAATGTGTACCTATTTCATAAACACACAGTATAACAGCACTTCCTGTGCAATATTTTTTATCCTTTGTGATACAAAATTTAATTGCAATATGAAATGTTTACTGTGGCTACATTTGTTTTCCCCGGATGTAAAAAAACATCTTGAAAAAAATAAAGGGAATCATGGATTTTTTTAAACAGGTCTTCAATACTGTCAGAGATTTCACACGTATCCTTGGAAAATCAACAGGAGGTGGATGCAGAGCTTGATTTGATGTGTCTGTTGGGAAATGAAGAGCGTGTAGCCTGAAAGTAAGCACCGTGCAGGCACATGCTGACTTTTTATCCCCATTACTCTAGGCTGCACCTCTCGTGGACTGACAGCCTGTTCTGCCACTCTGGTCAAACATCCCTCTCGATTTTAAGCTCCAAGAGGACCGTATGATGATGTAATCTGACACGAAGTTTCACTTACTGGTGCCTGCCTCCAGCACAATAATTTCTGCTTGGGCTGGATCTAGAGAAAGAAGCACTGCATGCTGATTTAAAGATCCTACGTGGCAGAGAGTCTGCTGGCTCTGAAGGCAGTGGTTAACTGCCCTCCTGGCTAAACTCTGATTTCTCATCTCCAGCTGCTGGATCTTGCCAATCCTTTGCTTGCTGGATTAGTACGACTAAAGTCTAACAAATCCCCCAAGCTCTTGTTCCACGCGCAGCCTCAGACAGACTGATCCTACCTCTCTGAGGAGGAAGTTTATGAATTCATGATCAGCCTCCAGGCCAGGATAATGTCTTAGCCTCCATGTACAGATTTCTTAACTCAAAATTTGTTCTACATTTAGCTGAGAATTTATCTCAGGTCACTAACAGTGACTCTGTACCGACTACCTGACAGTATGTATAGTTTCGGGTTTTAAAATGCATCCCCAGCCACCTGGCAGGATGGAAACGAGCTCGAGGGCAGGGGGAGAGCGGAGGCGGCAGCCGCCATGAGCTCAGGGTTGTCAGCTGGAGGCGATCTGCAGGAGATGTTGAGTTGTCTGTGTGGGAAGAGCTCAAAAATAGCACTCGTTTAAAAATCCTGGGATTTTAAAGCAGTCTTCTGGGGCCTCACTCCTGGTTTGGCTGCGGCAGGGCCAACTCCAGGGTGTTCACCCTCGAGGAGCAACCCCCTCCGCGGGCCCCCGCCTGCGCCCCGCTGCGCGGCCCCGGCTTGCACACCCTGCCCGCCTCCGCTCAGACCTTCCAGGGTGAGTCAAAGGCCAGATGTTTCTTCTCGGGCTCACCACTAGATGGGCCCCACACCCTTGCTGTCCCCTGCACAGGCAGCCACAGAAATACGGCTCCTGGCTTCCACCAGGGTTTAGGGGGAAGAATGAGAACTAAATGAGAAATGGGAACGTGCTTGGAGCTGCCTCACGTGGAGACAGGGCTGCAGCCCTCAGCGGGAATGATTTGACTTTGATTTGCATAAAATGCAGAGTGATGTAGGAGGGGGCAGGTTACTAATTTAACGCCTTTACAGTCGAGAGCAGCCCTTCCTGTTGCCTCAGTTTCCCCCGCTGTGAAGAGGTGCTGCTAACCTGCCTCTCCCTGCCTGCCCTCCAACTCAGCGTAACTCTTTATGCCATTCCAGTCCAGCCTAGGCTTGCTGGGTTCCTGCGTCCCCAGGCATCCTCCGTACCCTGCAGGCAGGACTGGAGAGGTGAGGCTGAGCCAGGGGTTGCCTGAGTGACCGGTGCCAGCCCAGAGTTGCCCCTGCCCCTCCAGAAAAGCCAGCCTTTTTGGACTCGCCGTGATTCACTGGAGCTCTGGTTGGGGTCAAAGTCCCTGTCAGTGAGATGGGTCCCTACAGCCCCAGGGTCGCAGGGTCCAGGGCTCAGCTGAGCAGTTTGCACCAAATGGAGGTGAAATCCTGCAGAGAGAAGGGACTGATCAGTTTGTGGGGTAACCTCCTTTGGGTGCTGGCCAGAGCCAGGCTCTCCATCTCACCCCAAATAACGTGATTCAGCAAATGGGGCTGCAGGTGTTGCCCAAGGCGGCCCAGTTTGCCAGTTTGGGCAAGGGAGGCCAGGGGAGCGGGGAAAGGGCTGACCTGGGACAAAGGCGCTTTTCTTTCAGAGACGGTGTTCCCAGCCCCGGGCAGCCTGTTCCCGCTCCCAGCCCGGGGCAGTGGCATGCGAAGCACTCGCCCGCCTCCCAATGCGCCGGGTACAGAAGCAACAGCTGCAGGGGCCCTTTTGCTGCCTCAGGAGCTGTGAGAGCACCCGGGAGCCAGGCTGGGATCTAAATTTAAACTCGTGCTTTGTGTGTTTGTACATGCGAGTGCAAGCTCCGGCCCCCACTCCCCCACCGCCTCCCCGGGTGCACGGAGGAGAGACTCCGAACGAAGGGAGATCCAGAGGATCTGCAGCTGGCTGGGACCCGGGGAAGGGAGGCTCAGCCGTGGGGCAGGAGGGGGAGAAACGGCTGAGGGAGAAACACCATGGAGCCTGCTTCTCCCCAGGATGACATGAAGAAGAGGCAACAGAAGGAAAAGTCCAAGAAGCCAGTGCCGCCAGCAGCCCCCCGGCCAGCCAGGGCTCTGTTCTGCTTAACCCTGCAAAACCCACTGCGGAAGGCATGCATCAGCATCGTGGAGTGGAAGTATCCTTCTGGCTGCGTGGGCTTGGGAGCACCCATGTGGGTGCCTGTGAGCAGGGGTGCTGCGGAGGGGTGCTGGGGAGCAGGACTGTGCTGGCCATTCAAGCCTGTGCTAGCCATCTCGTTGGGTCTGTAAAAGGCAAGGAGGTACCCGGGGAGCCCCGGTAGGATGCACTGGCAAAGGCAGTGGCTGTGCAAACTGGGGGCGTGAACAGGCTTGTGGGGGAAGCTGGGGCTAAGAGGTGGATTTAGGCCATGGGGACCTTGGGTAGGGTGGTGCGGGGCCAGCCTGGGTGCGGGGCCAGCCCGGGTGGCAAGGGACTTGTGGGAGTGAACACATTTTCTGCTGGCAGGAGCTGTGCTGGGTAGAAATGGGAATACCTGAC